ATATATATATATATATATATGAATATATATATAAAAAAAAATATTTAAAAGAAGTTTGGGGGAGCCACGGCTCGCCCATCATTTAAAAGGTCCGCCACTTATTGTAGTTTAATAGTTTTTAACTAAACTTTAAATATAGTAAACCCATTTAAATAAAAAAAAACTTTAAATTATGAGATATATTAATATAGACTATATAGTCCAATGTATTTTTCACTGGACAATTCTGTTAATATGAACAACAAAGCTCTCCATTCGAGTGAGTAAGAGTTGTATAATTAGGATGCGAAATCGAAATAGTTAATCTAAAAATTAGGATAATTTAATAATACAGAATAGAATTTTATATTTGAGAAAGTAACGTTTGCACTGTAGGGTAGAATGTCATAAAGCAAAATTTGTCTCCTAATTAAGCAACTTCGACATAAAAGAAAACGGTAGCAACAGTGAAACACGAAGCAGTATGTGGAAGTGACAAAAGATGTTGTGTTGTGGTGTTGCAGGAACATTTTGGACAGGAACTTCTCATATCATCACTGCTGTAATAGGATCGGGAGTCCTTTCACTAGCATGGGCAGTGGCTCAGCTTGGTTGGGTTGCTGGACCTGTTATTATGTTTCTCTTTGCGATGGTCAATCTCTACACTTCCAACCTTTTAACACAGTGTTACAGAACGGGTGACTCCGTTACTGGACAAAGAAATTACACCTACATGGAGGCAGTCAAGTCCATCTTGGGTAAGATATTAATAACAAGTTATTAATTAGTATATATGTAACCACACGAAACCAGTATGTTGTTGCTATGAAACTGATATTATGCATGCCATTCTTTTTGGGTTTCAGGAGGAAAAAAGGTCAAGTTATGTGGCATTATCCAGTATGTCAATCTGTTTGGAATTGCAATTGGGTATACCATTGCTGCCTCTGTCAGTATGATGTGAGTTTAATTCAAACATAAGTGACTCTAATTATTCATTGTTTCTCTATAAAATGAATTAACTTGTTGGAACTTGATGTTTATTGTTGACCCTTCTGGTTGTGTCTTAGGGCCATAAAAAGATCGAATTGTTATCATAGCAGTCATGGAAAAGATCCCTGCCACATGTCAAGCAATGGGTATATGATAACATTCGGAATAGCAGAAGTGATATTTTCCCAAATCCCAGACTTTGATCAGGTGTGGTGGCTATCCATAGTTGCAGCTATCATGTCCTTCACTTATTCTTCAGTTGGATTGGGTCTTGGCGTGGCAAAAGTAGCAGGTGCAAACAGATTTGTATTTTATGTGCCTAACATTTATATGCATGCAACTTCTAAGTTTGTTTTTCATTTGCAGAAAATAAAACATTTAAAGGAAGCCTGATGGGAATTAGCATTGGCACAGTGACACAAGCTGGAACAGTCACTAGCACACAGAAAATATGGAGGAGTTTACAAGCTCTGGGGGCAATGGCCTTTGCGTACTCTTTTTCCGTTATCCTCATTGAAATTCAGGTAACTTAGATATAGCCTATTGTGATAATACGTATTCTTCACACAGCATAATATTACATGAGAATTAAGAAAACATTTGGCTTTGTTGCAGGACACCATAAGATCTCCTCCTGCAGAGCACAAGACCATGCGAAAGGCCACTACATTGAGCATAGCAGTTACCACAGTGTTTTATTTACTCTGTGGATGCATGGGTTATGCAGCCTTCGGAGATAATGCACCTGGAAACCTCTTGACTGGTTTTGGGTTCTATAACCCTTATTGGCTTCTGGACATTGCCAACTTTGCGATTGTTGTGCACCTAGTTGGGGCATACCAGGTATTATATCATATATGATCTTTCACTGCTAATTATTTGTCGTGAACTCTACATATTGGCGCAAGAATATGGTGGCTTCAAGATCTTCTGAACAGACAACACTAGACTAATTAATAAAATAAAGGAAACTTACAAGGATAATTGGTTCATGTTTTGCATCTCATAGAACTTCTCCTAAATTATACAACTTTCATAAAAACACTTTCAGATGATAGTAAACAAATTTGAACTACACTTGTAACAATTACGTGGTGCCATATTAGGTTAGGACTTGATGATTAGTATGTTGTGTCAAGGAATAATGATTACTAGTATGTTACTAAAAACTTTTGAACATTGTCATGGTCGAGTCAATCTTTGTTTTTGAATCCATTTTAGCTTCTAAGTTCCTGATATAAACTTGGGAGCATGTTAAAGAAATGTATTGGTATATTTATTTTTATTTATGAACAATATATATTATTCCAGGTTTTTTCCCAGCCCTTATTTGCATTTGTGGAAAAATGGTGTGCACGTAAATGGCCAAAGAGCGATTTTGTCACGGCAGAATATGAAATACCCATTCCCTTCTATGGTGTGTACAAATTCAACTTCTTCCGTTTAATATGGAGAACCATTTTCGTGTTGTTGACGACCCTCATAGCCATGCTCATGCCTTTTTTCAACGATGTGGTTGGAATACTTGGGGCTTTTGGATTCTGGCCCTTAACAGTTTATTTCCCTATAGACATGTATATTTCGCAAAAGAAGATTGGACGATGGACTATTCGGTGGATTGGACTTCAGATACTTAGTTTCAGTTGCCTCATCATCTCATTATTAGCTGCCATTGGTTCCATGGCAGGGGTGGTTTTGGACCTTAAGACTTACAAGCCTTTTAAAACTAGTTATTAAGTGAAAAGAAGACCTTGAGAAATACAAGTGTTTGAGCATGATATTATGGAACAAAAATGATAAGTTAGTTTGTGGAATCAAAGTATATACGCTCCATGCCTACTGCTGTTAGAGGCTCACAAGCTTGGACGTAACAAACATAACAAACATACCTCTAATTTGGACGTATACGTGTTTCTGTGTAAGTTCTACTTTCAAGTTACAAGGAATAAACTTTTGGAAGTGTTACTTCTTTAGTCTGAATACTTGTGTTCGTCTCCCATCCTTGGTAGTTCATTTCTTCAATTGTATTACATTTGTTCTACCTCTTTGATATCTCCCTTAAATTTAAGGTTTCGTTTCACTTCCATCAAGGGGACAACATTATCGTGGCTATTCTGATCTTTCCAAAAGATTAACTATTTGAGTAGAGGTTGCTACTAGACACAGACTCGGCTACACCATACAAGCATAACCTCAACCACGCTTACCACTTGTAGCATCCCTGATAACTTCAAATTGTAATTATTCAATTTATATCAGTAGACACAAGAAGGGGGAAAATGGAATTTAGTATCGCAAATTCGGTAACATGTTGGAATTCAATAAAAAAAAACAGCACTTTAGATAAAAAGAAACGTAACAAACACAATTTCTTTTCCAAAATCTCTACTATTAACTATAAATACTAATCACTATGACTGATTAAAATTATAAAAAAAAAATTGAATTGCAAACAAACTAATATTACATATGTTAAAGGTGTTCGATCCTAATTCTTTTGTTGCTGTGACTTATTTCTTAGCCTTGAGTTTAGCAGAACTTGATTCAGCAGCAGCTTTAGCTAGTGTTGTTGGTTTGATGACGCTCTTT